TGTGTGTGAACTAACTGAAAAAAAAACATGAACAAATTCCTATGCACACTGTGCATATTTTGTTTGTAGTGCAAAAAAGAAAAGAAAAATATGAAGAACCATTTTAACCAACATAAACTTACCAGTATTTCAGTTGAAGACCCAAGGCGCCATCCAGTCCAACCCCCTTCTGCTATGCAGGAAAAGATAATTAAAAACATCCCCAACAGATGGCCACCTAGCCTTTCTAATAATAATAATAATAATAATAATAATAATAATAATAATAATAATAGACAACAACAGCAGAAACCCCAGGGGCCATACAGTTCAATATCCTTCTGCCATGCAGGAAAAGCACAATCAAAGCACCCCTGAGTGATGGGATGGAAATGGGGTTTTGGAAACAAGGAAGATGAGGGGTAAAAGATCTGGATGGCAAGGGAGGCTGGGGAAAAGGCTTTTGGGGCCGAGGAGGCTGAAGAAAAAAGTTATGGGGCAAGAGAGCGGGAGAAGGAAAGAGGAGGGAACTGTGAAGTCCCTTAGTATGCTTTGTAGAGCTTCAAGGGCTCCGTGAGCACGCTTTGAGAACCACTAGTCTATACAAAGAGGGAGGATGAGATTCAATTCTGTAGTTACCAGCAGGTGATGGCATTCTTATAATGAATAAGGACGAAGTCAAGAAGCACAAATTAGAATCATACAGTGATACCTTGACTTAAGAGTTTAATTCATTCTGTGACCCATCTGTAAACTCAAAAACATTCTTATCTCAAAATGACTTTCCCCATTGAAATGCTCTTAATCCATTCTAGCCCTCCGACACCCCCCCCCCACATTTTTATTGTTACATGTTTTTAAATAAGAAAATGTACTTTATAAATAACAACTAAAGTATAAATGCACATTCACATGGAACAATAAAAAAGAAATATCAACTTTAAAATGGTGGAAGCACAAAGTTGTGACAAGGAAGCACAAAGCACAGAGTTAAGCAGCGGAAGTATCATTTTCTTAATACTGGACTCATTCCAACCTCCTTCCTCTCTTGCTCCTTCTCCCTCTCTCTCTTCATGAAGCCAAACATACCAGGAATGAAAACCACACAAAATCAACTAACCCAAAGTTCCTCAAAGTGGATAAGAACAAAGCAGACAGCAATCTCCCAAAGCGGACAAGAGCATGAGGCACAGAGGCCGCTCCCTTGAAGTCCTAAAGCCCTGTACTCTCATGCTAGCATTCCCTCTGGCACTAGCTCATAGCTCAAAATGCGATTCTTATGTCAAAGTGATACCCAGGCTGAGCGACAGCTCTTAACTCAAATGTTCTTAAATTGGGACACTCTGAAGTCGAGATTCCACCATATTTCATATTAAGGCTCCCACTGGCTTTAAAAATACAGGAAGCTGCTAAATAATACTCAGAAGGCTTTTTGGCCACCTGAAGAACCCTAGAAATCAAGATTGAGATGCAGGTGAATTCAGCTCAACCGCAGGGCATGATGTACCCCTCCCTTTATCTGCATCCCGAGCTCTGAGAATCACCAGGGAGGGAATCCCGATGGAGCATTGCAGCACACTCAAATACCTGGGAGTCACTCTGGACCGTACTCTGACCTACAAGAAGCACTGCCTGAACATCAAGCCAAAAAGTGGGTTTCGTATGAAACAATATCATACGAAAGCTGACTGGCACAACCTGGGGATCACAACCAGACACAGTGAAGACATCTGCCCTCGCGCTATACTACTCTACTGCTGAGTATGCATGCCCAGTGTGGAACACATCTCACCACGCTAAAACAGTGGATGTGGCTCTTAATGAGACATGCCGCATTATCACGGGGTGTCTGCTCCCTACACCACTGGAGAAATTACACTGTCTAGCCCAGGGGTCCTCAAACTAAGGCTCGGGGGCCAGATACGGCCCTCCAAGGTCATTTACCTGGCCCTCACTCAGGGTCAATCTAAGTCTGAAATGACTTGAAAGCACACAACAACAATAACAACTCTATCTCATCAGCCAAAAGTATTTCCCATTGAAATACTAATAAGTTTATATTTGTTAAAAATGTTCTTCATTTTAATTATTGTATTGTTTTTAAGTGTTTTGCACTACAAATAAGATATGTACAGTGTGCATAGGAATTCATTCATGTCTTTTTCAAATTATAATCCAGCCCTCCAACAGTTTGAGGGACTGTGACCTGGCCCTCTGTTTAAAAAGTTTGAGGCCCCTGGTCTAGCCGGTATTGTACCACCTGACATCTGCCGGGAAGTAGCAGCCAATAGTGAAAGGACCAAGGCAGTGACATCTCCAGCCCATCCCTTGTTTGGTTATCAGCAAGCACATCAACGACTTAAATCAAGACATAGTTTTCTAAGATCTACAGAGACTTCATTGGAACACCCCAGCAAGCAAGAGTCCAAAAGTGGCAGGCTCAAACCCAGAACCTCAACCAATGGCTGATACCAAAGGAGAGACTCCCCCCTGGGCACACAGAAGACTGGGCGACTTGGAAGGCACTGAACAGACTGCTCTCTGGCACCACGAGATACAGAGCCAATCTTAAGAAATGGGGCTACAAAGTGAAATCCACGACATGCGAGTGTGGAGAAGAGGAAACCACTGACCACCTTCTGCAATGCTGCATGCACAATGGAGGACCTTCTTGCAGCAACACCAGAGGCACTCCAAGTGGCCAGATACTGGTCAAAGGACATTTAATCAACTACCAAGCTCACAAATTCTGTATTTTGTCTGTTTGTTTGTTTGTTTGTTTTTGTTAAAAATGTAATACAAATGTCTGGTTGCTGATGACACGATAAATAAATAAATAATAAATAAAAATCTGCATTAGCAGGCAGTGGCTTTCCTGGGTTTCCAGAGAGTGCCAGTGATGTCCAGGATCTTTTCCATACAAGCCTGTGCTCTCCCACTTTAATGCCAGCAATTTCATTTTCTGAAGTTGCTCTCTCTCTCTCTCTCTCTCTCTCCATGTTAAAAAGAAGCGATTTCTTATAATAGTCGTTAGAGAGAAGACTTCCTTTTTGAAGAGGACTTAATCTTTTAACTTGAAACTTATTGTCTTAAGTATAGATCACTTTCACTACTTCATTGATTGTCCTTCCTAGGGATATTGGTTTAAGTAGAGGAAGAAAATACATTCTTTGTTTGCAGTCATGCGAAAGACATCCACTGAATGTTAAGATGTTTGAAGAGGCTAGAAGTCTCACTCTCACAAGGGATATTGAATGCTTTTCAGTCCTTTTGATGGAACTGATCATTTTTTCAGCTGGTGTGCTTTTAAGAGAAAGAAATCCATTAAGCGGGAGTTCTCAATGAAGACCAGTTCTTCTCCCAAAAGCGGACCAGAACTTTAAACAAAGTTCTCACTGAAGACCATGATGAAAGATTCGTCCAAGACTAGGCAATATAGACTGCTCATATACACTTGCACTGAATGTGTCCTCCCAAGGTTTCACCTTTACTTTTCAACTCCAGGAAATTGATTCTGTGACCCTGTTATGTCATGCAATGTACATGGCATTTCTAAAATATAACAAAGAAAAGAAGAAGAAACAAAGTGGGACAAATAATAGATACAACCGTAACATACTGGGGAATAAAGAGAACTTGATAGTTTCTTTTTGTCATTGTATTCACCTTGAAAAATTGAGAATTTTGTACTAAGGGAAGGACACAATATGTTTTGCTCTCTCTCTTTCTCTCTGGGTCTAGCTGATTTATACTTGCATATCTATATCTGTATAGCTATCCAGATCATTTTGATGATTAGGTAAAGGTAAAGATTTTCCCCTGACATTAAGTCCAGTTGTGTCTGAATCCGGGGTGGTGGTGCTCATCTCAATTTCTAAGCCGAAGAGCATTGTCCATAGACACCTCCTAGGTCATGACTGTAAGGAGCGCCGTTACCTTCTCGCCAGAGTGATACCTATTTATTCACATTTGCATGTTTTTGAACTGCTAGGTTGGTGGAAGCTGGGGCTAACAGCGGGTGCTCACGCCGCTCCCCAGATTTGAACCTGTGACCTTAGTAGAATCTTTGGGGAAGCTGGGGCTAACAGCGGGTGCTCACGCCGCTCCCCAGATTTGAACCTGTGACCTTAGTAGAATCTTTGGGTACCTGTAGAGTAATCCTTTTTTGGGTTGTTTTAGGTTTTTTTGGGCTATATGGCCATGGTCTAGAGGCATTCTCTCCTGACGTTTCGCCTGCATCAATGGCAAGCATCCTCAGAGGTAGTGAGGTCTGTTGGAACTGGGAAAAATGTATTTTTTAAATAAGGTCCGTTTGAACATAAGTACACAACGAAAGTTTATTTCAAAAAAGTAAATTTATTTTCAGAAAGTACATACTTCACTCTATTTTTCGACATAGTTGCCAAGTTTGTTCAAACACTTATCATACCTCTGAACCAATTTTAAAATACCCTCTTCATAAATCCTCGCTTCAACTGAAGCCACCAAATCATCTGTAATCAAAGAAGGGCGACCGGAGTGGTCCTCATCATGGACGTTGTCACGGCCATCTTTGAATTGTCGTACCCACTTACGCACTTTGCTTTCACTCATAACAGTATCACTGTACACTTCACAAATCTGTCGATGAATTTCTGCAGCAGGCAGGTTCCTTGCTGACAAAAACCGTATCACTGAGCGAACCTCACATGCGGCGGGTGAGTTGATAGTCTTAAACATTTTTAAAGCACAGAACAGAACCGTACAGGTTAGCTACAGAGCGGAAACTGAGCACAGTTGTTCCTGAGGCATGCTGGTACATGGCGCACGCGCTCGTTGCGGTATGTGCGCGAACTACTAGTGTCTACAACAAAATGGACCTTACTTAAAAAATACCCCTCGTATATATGAGAACATACAGCTTTCACTATTTAGGTGAACTGCTGTTCACTTAAATAGCAGACCAGTGTTTTGTTCTCTGTGTATGTATGTACATGTATGTTGATTGATGTAACAACCGTCTGGCTCTTCCGTCTGAACAGAGATGTTTCTGACCTCACTGGCTTTCCGGAAATGTTAGGAGGGCGTGTGAAGACTCTTCATCCTGCAGTACATGCTGGTAAGTGGAGATTGACAAACTGTTGCATGTCAGATTTTTTAAAAAATGCAGTAGTTGGAGAAGAATTGGCTTGACTGAAGTTTCAAATAGCTTGAATCCTTTCTTTTTTGCTTAGCTTGTGTCTGTATTGAGGCATTTGGCACGATAGATGGGACTCACATCCACCCATTAGGATAGTCATTAGACCCTGTTCTGCAGTACGGCCCATGATCCCAACTGTGCATGTTTCGGAAGTGATTATACTATTGTGGTTCCCAATGTCAAAACTTAAATCAAATGAGAGTATGGCTGGATCTACACTGCTCTATGTCCCAGGATCTGATCTACTTGGTGGAGGCTCCTTCTTTGGAAGCTTTTAAACAGAGGCTGGATGGATATCTGTCAGGGGTGATTTGAATACAGTATTCCTGCTTCTTGGCAGGGGGTTGGACTGGATGGCCCATGAGGTCTCTTCCAACTCTTTGATTCTATGATTCTACTTTGAACTGGATTATATGAGTCTACACTGGGGTAAGGAGATAATCTGGAATCAGATCCTGGTACATAAGGCAGGGTAGACTGTAGGGTAGACCCACCCTCAGTCTTAAAAAACAGAAATGGTAATTCTGTTTAAAAAATTAAGCTGACATACCTCTGGAGATATCCACTTGTTATGTTTGGCAAGCAGTTCCCTAGAAGGCAGTTACACGTCTTTCTTCTCAGAATAGTTCACCTCCAAGAGATGAAAACTCTAAATAATAATGGTGCATTAAACTGCTTATTGCTCGAAATTCAAGACATTTATCATTGTTTGGAGATCTTGAATACTTAATACTAGAAAACATTTTTCTCCCAAGATTGTAGTCCTATGCACAATTAATTGGGAATAAACCTGCAAAGGAATATGTTATAAATAATTCTTCATCATATGAATCAAGAAACTTAGTCATCGTTGCATGCATGTTTACTACACTTTTACAGATAAACCTCAGTTAACAACGTAGTGTTCCTGACCTTTGCTTCCAAAATAGAAATGTAGTTCCAGAGGCAGAAATCATGGCCAAGTATGATTGCCTTGTTGGTTGGTCCATAGATGACTGTAGAGACCTATTCCTGATCTACATGTTCTTTTGCAGTGAAGACACCAGTTTCCTTGTTTAAAAAAATACCTTGTAAAATTGTAACTCCCACAATTCCATAGTGCTGGGTCTTGCTAAGCACAACAAAACATAAAAAGTAGACAGTTAGATAGACGTTAAAGTGTATTAATCTGTAGATGCAACCTGCTTAAAAGAACAAAAATTGATCTTCAGTAGTCCATATGGAGTCTTCTTCCAAAATGTATCCAGGAAGGTCTTTCTCTTTCACCAGCCTCCATTTTACGTCTAATTTCATTTGAGTAGCCGTAGATATAAACAGTTCTGGCCCAGACTACCTGTCCGAAAGTATCTCCTGCCACAAACCATCGCGAAGTTTAAGATCTTCAGGAGAGGCCCTGCTGTCAATCCCACCACTATCGCAAACGTGGTTGATGGGGACGAGAGACAGGGCCTTCTCAGCAGTGGCGCCCTGCCTATGGAATGCCCTCCTTAGAGATATCAGATTGGCCACCTCCCTCTTGTCTTTTAGAAGGAAAATCAAGACCTGGTTATGGGACCAAGCGTTTGATCAGTGAGCAGCAAGTGGAAGAAGATCACACAACTTATGGCAATGAATTGACCCGGACCGGTTTTTGGATGTCAATTTTAACGGATGTGTCTTAATTAATTGTTTTCATTGTTGTTTCAATATTTTTAATATTTTGTTTGTACCATGGTTGTTTTTATGATGCCTAGCGTCGTATGATGCTTTTGTTAGGCCGCCCTGAGTCCCCCTTTGGGGGGGAGAAGGGCGGGGTATAAATATAGGTAATAAATAAATAAATAAATAAATTTAATTTTGATAGACTTGGGAGGTGGGGTGGTGAGGCAGGTTTGTTGTCTACGTTTTATGTTTTGTTGTGCCTAGCAAGGGATCTGGGGAAATTCCTAACACAGAAATTAGAACTGTGGAATGATAGAGTTGGAAAAGACCACAAGGACCATCCAGTTGTTAGAAAACATGGGTTAGACAAAGGGCAGGTAGAAAAATGGCTGGATGGGTATATTTAAAAAAACCTTTGTAAAAAAGGCACTTTTCTAATTGAGTAGCAAATTATGCCTGTATAGCAAAAGGCCCTGTGAATATAATGGGGTCTCACTAAGAATGCAATTTTCCTGCTTCTTGACAGAGGGTTGGACTGGATGGCCCATGGGGTCCCTTCCAACTCTATGATTTGATGATTCTAAGAAACACGATATATAACTTTGAATGGCTATAGCCCACATTTCAAATGTGCAATGTTTGATTCCTAGTATTACTATTATACTACGTGGGGTTGCCTTTGAAGTCTGTTCGGAAATTGCAATTAGTCCAACGGGCGGCAGCTAGATTACTCACCGGAGCGTCATACAGGGAGCATACCACCCCCCCTGTTGTGTCAGCTCCACTGGCTGCCGATCCAATTCCGAGCACAATTCAAAGTGCTGGTCTTGACCTATAAAACCCTATACGGCTCTGGTTCAGCATACCTGTCCGAACGTATCTCCTTCTACGTCCCACCCCGGAGCTTAAGATTGTCTGGGGAGGCCCTGCTCTCGGCCCCGCCTTTGTCTCAAACACACTTGGCGGGGACGAGGGGCAGGGCCTTCTCGGTGGTGGCCCCCCGCCTGTGGAATTTGCTCCCTAGGGAAATTAGGTCATCGTCGTCCCACCTCACCTTTAGAAAAAAGGTTAAAACGTGGCTGTGGGACCAGGCCTTCGGGTAATCAGGTTAAAGGACAATTGATAATGTTTGACTATGGCATGGAAGAAGATTTGGAAAAGTTAAGTGGAGTAATCATTAGTAGATGGCTAGCTAAACAGCCACCAGATGGGCAATAGCTAATCAGAGTGTAAGCATACTGTTTTAATCTTTATTTATTAATGTTCATGTTAATTGTTATATTTGTTATTCTGTATTCTGTATTTTATGATGTGGCATTAAATTATTGCCAATTGTAATTGAGTCCCCCCAGGGGTTGAGAAGGGCGGAGTAGAAATGTTCTAAATAAATAAATAAATAAAGACTATACATAATGAAGGAATATGATGTCTATCAAATAATATGGCTTTCTGAGAGGCAGCTAGCCATGCAGTTACGCAACACCTTTCTAATTGTCTTTTCTCCCCCAAAACTAGGTATATTGGCTCGTGACATTCCACAAGATAAAGGTGACATGACTAAACAGGATTTCAGCCTTGTTAGGTAAAGTGTTTTAACTCGTCATAGTGAGTTAATAAACAATCATGAGATAAACCTCAGAGACCTGCCTGTGGAGGTGATTTACAGAGGACACTAAATAATCTCCTCTTTATCTGCATTTTCTCTTCCAAAAGTGACCAGATGCATTAAAGTCATCTCACAAAATTGGAGTCTTTTAGGGGAATGAGATGAAGAAACTCAATAGCAGAAGAGATTTAGGAGTTGCCTATTCTTGATCACTTTTTTTTTCTTTTGAACCAATAGCAAATATACCCTTTTGAAATGTACATAGCAGTATTTGTATTTCAACATGTGAGTCAACTGTAAACGCAAGAGTGCTAAAATTCAGGGCCATTTTTGTAATGCTGAGGGATTCTGGACAAGAGCCTTGGTCTATCCCTCCCCTTCCGATATGCCCCTTTCTCAAACACACTATTCACCAAAACAGTTTTTAGAGCATGTTAACAATGTTTCTGGCACCAAGTGTACCCTGAGAAATCCAAATAAATAAATACCCAATGAACAATTAAAAACTTTTTCTGTTTGCCAGTAAAAAAGTACATTTATATATTTATATATTTTATATCACATGTAATATTACTAGTAATATTAGTATATAATGGTATAGTACAATATAGTAATATATAATACTGATGTTGTACTATGCTAATAATATAATATATTGTATATACATATAATGTATATATATGTGAGAGGAAGCCACAGGGAGGAGGGAGCAAGCTTGTTTTCTGCTTCCTTGGAGACTAGGACGCGGAGCAATGGCTTCAAACTACAAGAAAGGAGATTCCATCTGAACATGAGAAAGAACTTCCTGACTGTGAGAGCCGTTCAACAGTGGAACTCTCTGCCCCGGAGTGTGGTGGAGGCTCCTTCTTTGGAAGCTTTTAAACAGTGGCTGGATGGCCATCTGTCCTCCCTGTGGCTTCCTCTCACATATTTATACATGGCTATCATGTCTCCTCTCAGCCTTCTCTTCTTCAGGCTAAACATGCCCAACTCCTTAAACCGCTCCTCATAGGGCTTGTTCTCCAGACCCTTGATCATTTTAGTCGCCCTCCTCTGGACACAGGATGTGTGCTTGTATTTGGCTGGACTCTGTCCATAATTCTCATTTTTTAGTAATCTAGGAGCAGTGTGCGTCTCCTGATCTCTCTTTTTTTTCCTCTGAATTATAGATGAATGATGCCTGAGCTACCTGAATGCAAATGTTAAGTGATGACTTGTTCCTTTGCTTGAAGCAGTGACTTCAAACTGCCAAAATAGTATGATCTCTCTCGCTCTCTCTTTTACTCTCTTTCTCTCTCACACACAATATGGTGAAAGCGCATGTGTGTGTGTGAGAGAGAGAGAGAATAAAAAAGGAAAGAGAGAGAGAGATAATGTTATGGCAGTTTGAAGTCACTAAGGGAGCTCAGTACTTAACAGAAGGTGAAAAAATGAAGGAATGAAGGTATTCCAGGATTAACTAATTGTAAGAGGCAATGTGGTGACTCTCTAGAATGCTGTCAAGATATCTGGGGAAAGGTAGGCCAGTGAGAAATCTGCCATGAAGAAACAACCAAGCATGGCGATGGTCAGCCTTGACATGTCATCACTCAACAGTTGCTCATCCATGGACCTTCATTTTAAAATGAATTCAACCATGGACCTCTATTTTTAAGAACAACAACAATCTCTTGTCTCAGCACAGACAAATGCATAGCACTTGTTTTGAAGATTGAGAATGGGCGACCAAATATTGTGCTGTATAGTTGTTCTGTGCTGCTGTTCTTACATTTCTAACAATTCTTTCCTCTTTTCTCAATAGGGTTTTAGTGTGCAACCTCTACCCATTTGTCAAGACTGTGGCATCCCCAAATGTCACTGTGGAAGAAGCGGTTGAACAGATTGACATAGGTGTGTCAAAGCAGTCTTTGTATTGGTGGGCTGTGTAACGTTAATCAAAATCTGTTGCATGCCATTCCCTTGGAGTGACAGTCATTAGCCTTTTATTCAGTGTGCCCCCCCCCCAGATGCCCTTCCCCCAAAAATGAAACTGGAAAACTTTCTGGGAAAATTTTCAGTGGTCTGAATAATGCCTTGGTCTAACTGAAGTAGCCTAATTTTTACTCACTCTCTACACTACTTGCATTTCATGCTTAGCAAAATCTAGCACTAGTTGAATATTCAATTTCACTTCACTTCACTTTATTTCTTAATTAGTCGCTCTCCACCAAGGTGCTCCGAGCGACTTACAGTCTAAAATAGCATTTACACAATATTAAAACATTCAACATAAAAACATTCAGCAGTGACTATTTGGCAAATTAGATCTGATTACTTAAATGCACAACCAAAGAGCCAAGTCTTGAGTGCCTTTACAAAAGGTCGCAACTCCAACATTGCTCTAATGTATGGAGGCAATGAGTTCCACAGAATTGGAGCATAGATCGAAAAAGCTCTACGCCTTGTAGCTTCCAGGTGTACCTCCCTAGGGCCCGGTATGTATAGGAGATTTTCCTGGGTGGATCGAGGTGACCACGGATGGAGAAAAGGAATGAGGCGGTCTCTAAGATATAAAGGTCCTTGGCCATTTTGAGCTTTAAAGGAAGGATGAGTGTGAGTCTGTGAGCACAGACAACTTCTCACAGTACTGTTCTATTATCCGGGCAGTGGCCACAAGGTCCTTGAAGTGACTGGCTTGACCTTGAAGGAGCTGGGGGTGGTGACGATCGACAGGGAGCTCTGGCGTGGGCTGGTCCATGAGGTCACGAAGAGCCGGAAGCGACTGAACGAATGAACAACAACAATGTATTTGTATTGTGTTAAAATTGGTATCAAATTGTACCTTTGTTTTAAGCCACCCTAAGTCCCCTGTGGAGTTGAGAAGGATGGGATATAAATGAAATAAATAAACCCTCATTTATGACGAGAAATTTTAGGAGAGGGGAGAATCGCCAGTGACAAGAGGGGAAATGGTTTTCCTTCTTCAGCTCTCCGCCTTTAAAATTGACTATCCTTTTCTCTCTAGCGCCTCCTTGTGGCCTTCACCCGGATAATGGGACAGTACCCTTATCACATTTTGTAATGACAGCTTGTGACTGATTGAGAAACAAGGTGTCTTATAAAACAGAATCAAGGCAAGCAAGGCATTAATTGGCTAGAATAAAGATTTTGCAGTGCAACTGTTCCCCTGACAGTTGTGTCTGCCACTGCTTGTGTCCATCGAAGAATAACTATAAGTTCTTTAATTATCGGGTGCGGTGTTATCTGTACGCAGATGATGGCCAACTCTGTCACTCCTTCCCACCTACTACTAAGGAGGCTGTTCTGGTCCTGAACCGGTGCTTGGCCGCTGTGTCGGACTGGATGAGGGGTAACAAATTGAGATTGAATCCAGACAAGACAGAGGTACTCCTGGTCAGTCGAAAGGCCGAACAGGGCATAGGGTTACAGCCTGTGTTGGACAGGGTCACACTCCCCCTGAAGGCACAGGTACGCAGTCTGGGTGTGTTCCTGGAGTCATTGCTGAGCCTGGAGCCCCAGGTTTCGGCAGTGACCAGGGGAGCATTTGCACAATTAAAACTTGTGTGCCAGCTGCGCCCGTACCTTGGGAAGGCTGACTTGGCCACGGTGGTCCACACTCTGGTTACATCCCGTATAGATTACTGTAACATGCTCTATGTGGGGTTGCCTTTGAAAACTGCCTGGAAGCTTCAAATGGTCCAGTGTGCGGCAGCGAGATTGCTAACAGGAGCTGGGCTCAAGGAGCATACAACTCCTCTGTTGAATCAGCTCCACTGGCTGCCAGTCTGCTACCGGGCTCAATTCAAAGTGCTGGCTTTAGCCTATAAAGCCCTAAACAGTTCTGGCCCAGTCTATCTATCTGAACGCATCTCTTCCTACAAACCCCCCAGGAACTAAGATCGTCCGGGAAGGCCCTGCTCTTGATCCTGCCAGCTTTGCAGGCACGTTTGGCGGGGATGAGAGACAGGGCCTTCTCTGTGATGGCCCCCCGGCTGTGGAACTCCCTCCCTAGAGATATTAGATCAGCCCCCTCCCTCCTGACTTTCCGAAAAAGAGTAAAAACTTGGCTCTTCGAGCAAGCATTTGGAACCCCGGACTAAACAGACAAACTAAAGTTGGAAATTGACTCAGGAACGGCCAAGACTATGTAACGGATGAAGATTTGAACGAGAGGACATAGTTGTTTTTTAAATTGTTTATTATGCACTGTCGTTTATGTTTAATTGCATTTGATGTTTTTGCTTTATCAGTGTATGTATTTTGTGTCGGCATCGAATTGTGCATCGAATTGTGCCGACTGAGTCACCTTCGGGCTGAAATGGGCGGGATAGGAATAATGTAAATAAATAAATACATACATACATAAATAAATCTAATACGACTGCTTGCAGCGCAGTAGCCCAAGTGACCATGGATTGATATGAGAGGTGGGGGGGGGGGGGGGGGGGGGGGGGTGCATAAATTGTGATTGAAGATTTGCCACTCTATATCTCTAGACTTATTTGAAAAGAAAAATATTCGTAGGTGCTCACTTTTTCCCATCAGTGGTGTAAACATATATACAAATAACAGCAGTTTTAAAAGTTAAAAGTTTAAAATGGCAAGTTTAGAAATGCTTCCTTAAATACATTTTGGTTTACAATAAGCAGACAGACACATTGATTTCCAAATGACTTGGAAGCTAACACAGAAAGGAAGGTACAGCCATTTGAGCTATATACATTATTGTAGTACATCCTTCATCACCCCAGTGCCCCAGCTATTTTTGAGTCCAACTCTATCAGCTGCAGTCTGTATTGCTGCCATGGTGATGGACATTGTCATCTAAAACCTCTGGGAACTCCAGGCAAGAGAAAGCTGTGTAAGTAATAAATAGAGTAACTGAAACGGTACTAGTAGTTCTTGTACTATGAATGCTGTGTAAGATTTAGTAGCTCTGGGATGTCAGAAACACTGTATGGGCATAGATGTAATGTTTTCCTGTTTTCTCTTTATCATAGGAGGTGTAGCCTTGCTGAGGGCTGCAGCGAAAAACCATGCTCGTGTGACAGTTGTATGTGATCCTGAGGACTACACCACCATTGCAAAAGAAATGAAAGCCTCCAGTAATAAAGACACTACTTTGGAAACTCGACGCCAGTTGGCTCTCAAGGTATATAATAATAATAATAATAATAATAATAATAATAATAATAATAATAATAATAATAACAATCTTTATTTATACCCCGCCACCATCTCCCCAATGGGGACTGGGGCGGCTTACATGAAGCCAAGCCCAAACAACAAATTACAGAAAAATAAAACCGAAAACGAAAACAATTTTTATGTATATCTATATAAATAAAAATGTAATGTTCGTTTGTGCTATTCACAGAACTCAGAAACCACTGGGGCAATTGACACCAAATTTGGACACTATGTCCCTAACAACCCAATGTATGTTCTCCACTCAAAAAAAAATGAAAACAAAAGCAGAAAGGACTTCTAAACTGCATGTCCACAAAGGAGAAACTGCATGTCTACAGAGACCCATGGCCATGCCCCCTCCTCCTCCTCGCGGGGAAACAGCCGGCCGTTAAAGCCAGGCGCACGTGCACGGCCACACACACACACACACACACACACAAGCGAGTGGAGTGGAGGTGGAGGCTTGCCGCATGCAGCCCCTTCTCTTTCCCTCCTATGTCAGGAGGGCAGTCTCCTCCTCCTTTCCCTGTTGGAAGAGGAAAGGGCGGATGAGTGCCAGCAGCAGCAACGGATCAAGGAAGAAGGGGAGGAGGAGGGGGAGGAGGAGGAGGCAAGGAAGGTCCACGGTGCTTGAATGAAGGACCTTCCTTCTCTCCCTCTCTTTCTTCCCCTTCCTTCCTTCCTTCCTTCCTTTCCTTTTCTTCTTTCCTCCTTCTTTTCCTTCCTCCCTCCCTCCCTTTCCTTCTTCTTTCCCTTTCTTCATTTCCTTCCCCTTCATTTCTTTCCCTCCCTCCATTCTTCATCCCCCTCCTTTCTTTCCTTCCTTCCTCCTTCTCCCTCCTCCCTCCCTGTCCCTCCTTCTTTCTTTTCCCCTCCCTTTTTCCTTCCTTCCTTCTTCCTTTCCTTCTTTCTATGTAAGATATAAATACAATATTAAATGGAAGGGACAGTCAAGAAGTAACGAGAGAAGGAGGGAAAGAGGGAAGGAAGGAAGGAGAGAAGCAGGGAGGGAAAGAAGGAAAGAAAGAAAGATAGAGAAGCAAGGAAGGAGAGAAGGAAATAAAAAAGTGAAAGGAAAAAGAGAGGGAAGGAAGGAGAGAAGGAACAAAAGATAGGGAAGGAAGGAAATATGTCACCAAAGAGCAAAGAAAGGGAGGAAAGAAACGGGTAGAGATTGAAGAAAGAAGAGAGATAGGGGAAAAAAAGAGGAAAGGAAGGAAAGAGGGACGGAAGGAAAGAAAGAGGAGGGAAGGTTGGCCACAGCAACGCGTGGCGGGTACAGCTGGTAATTACATAAAACATATGAATGTATTACGATATGCATAACGATATAAAATTACAGTATATACCTTCTTTTGTTGGAAATTGTGAATTTTGGTAACCTTTTTATGTATCTTGTTGCGTGTTTGAGTCTCAACCTCTTTTTCTTCAGGCTTTTACTCACACTGCTCAATACGATACAGCCATTTCCGATTACTTCAGGAAACAGTACAGCAAAGGGGTGTCCCACCTTCCCTTGAGGTATGGCATGAATCCACACCAGACTCCGGCTCAGCTCTACACTTTGAGGCCTAAACTTCCCCTCTCAGGTAAGATGTACATAAAAACCCATAATTATAGTGGAACTCTCTACCCCGAAGTATAGTGGAGGCTCCTTCTATGGAGGCTTTTAAACAGAGGATGGATGGCCATCTATTGGGGGTGCTTTGAATGCGATTGTCCTCCTTCTTGGCAGGGGGTTGGACTGGATGGTCCACGAGGTTTCTTCCAACTCTGATCCTATGATTCTATGAAATGGGGTATGCTAGGCTATACCACAGATTCCCATGGATATGCTTCTGTAGCCAAGGCACCACATTTTTTTGTAATTTTTATGAGTTATGTCCAGGCCCGTAGCCAGGATTTCGTTTCGGGGGGGGGGCTGAATTTTTTGGGGGGGGTGGGGGGGTCTGAGTGAAAGAGGGTCTAGCCTAGCAAACCTTTTGTATCATTACCCCAATACCCCCATGCATATGGGATATATGGAGTATGGTGATCAGATCATGATATGAATAAACATAACAGTTTAAATAATGCACCATAAGGCCTTTTCGCGAACCACCATGAAAATTTCGGGGGGGGGGCTGAAGCCCCCCCCCCACCATGCAGAAACTCAGAATCAAAGCACCCCTGACAAATGGACATCCAGCATCTGCTTACCCCCCCCCCCCCCAAGAAAAGGAGAGTTCACCACACTCAGAAGCAGCATACTTTACTACTGAATAGCTCTTACCATCAGGAAGTTCTTCCTAATGTTTAGGTGGAATCTTTTTACCTGCAATTTGAATCCAATTTTCCGTGTCTGTCTCTGGAGCAACAGAACCCCCCCCCCCCCATACAACATTCTTTCAAATATTTAAACATGGCTATCGTGACCCCTTCCAATCTTCTCTTCTTCAAGCTAATCATATCCTTTTCCCTAAACTGCTCCTCATAGGTCTTGGCCTTCAGACTTTTTACCATTTTGGTAGGGGGAAACCCACTGGCTGGCCTTGGGCAAGTCCCACTCAGGGGAAGGCTAAGGAAACATGCTCTGAACAAGTTTTGCAAGAAAAACACACCGTAGATTCACCCTAAGTCAGCAACAACTTGAGAACATACAGCCTCCTTGTTTTGCATTAACACCGATGTTGATGCACAGTGCCCCAATATCTAGCCTTTTTACTTGGAGCCCCCGGTGGCGCAGTGGGTTAAAGCCCTATGCTGGCAGGACTGAAGACCGACAGGTCGCAGGTTCAAATCCGGGGAGAGGCGGATGAGCTCCCTCTATCAGCTCCAGCTCCTCGTGCGGGGACATGAGAGAAGCCTCCCACAAGGATGATAAAACATCAAAAATCATCCGGGCATCCCCTGGGCAACGTCCTTGCAGACGGCCAATTCTCTCACAACAGGACACTCCTGACACGACAAAAAAAAAAATCAAACTTGTCAATCAAAGACTAGAAATGAGGAGATTAAAAATACAATGGTTTAATTCTGCAGAAGAAGTAAGGGGTGATTTATACTCAAGCTAAGAAAGTGTCATATTTGACTGTTTCTGCTTCATGGGTTTTATAGTCTCAAGTTGATGCACACATGAAATTAAACTTCCCTTTCCCCTCTTTCCTATCTGTAATTTTCCCTCTCAACTTGTCCTTCATCTCTATCTCTCTCTATTCTGTTTCTTCTGTATCCTGTGTTTCTTTGTTCCAAAGCAATCTTTCTGCACCATTTTCCTCCCTCCTCCAATCACTCTTGGATCAATCTGATCTCTCTTTACCTCCCACCCAAATGTCTTCTCCTGGCAACACTGTCTTTTCCCAAATTATTTCACTCTTTTTCCTTCTTACTCCTTTTAATCCATTCTCAAACTCCTTCCTTATGAAATTCACTTTACATTTCCTGGTCCCAACACCGCGAGGGTTAAAAGGAAAGAAATGTAGTGTGAGCTAAAACGGAGCATGACTGATCTGATCTGTTAACTAGTTTATACTTTAACTGTTAAGGCTCATTGCAGAATGGTCTTTATAACTGAATGAGCTTTTCACCTTTTTCCTTTTATTTATTCTTTTCCCCTGCAGTGTTGAATGGCTCCCCAGGGTTTATAAACCTTTGTGATGCTCTGAATGCCTGGCAACTGGTCAGAGAGCTGAAGCAGGCGTTGGGCATTCCCGCTGCAACCTCCTTCAAGCATGTCAGTCCAGCCGGTAAGATGACAGCTTCAACTTCTGGCCTGTCTTGTTTATGCGTGGCTTTCTTGTCTCCTGCTGCTTATTGGGCTATCCTTTCAGGGGATCTGTGTTCTTTGCATACATATGTCAAGGAATATTGGTGGCGGGGTAGATAATTTCACAGGATCTGGAGGCCATTTTTCACCTATCCTCCTGGCTGCATCAGCTACTCCTAGCAAAATAGTATGTGATCAGAAGGTGCCTTCACTTTCTTTAAAAAGGGCATTTTGTTTCTAGGTTCTTGTGGGTTTTTTCGGGCTATAGAGCCATGTTCTAGAGGCATTTCTCCTGACGTTTCGCCTGCATCTATGGCAAGCATCCTCAGAGGTAGTGAGGTCTGTTGGAATTAGGACAATGGGTTATATATCTGTGGAATGGCTGGGGTGGGGCAAGGAGCTCTTCCCTGCTGCAGTTAGGTGTGAATGTTTCAGCTGATCACCTTCATTAGCATTTGAAGGCCTGCCTGAGCCTGGGAAAATCTCTTGCTGGGAGGTGTTAATCTGTGCCTGGTTTTCCTCTCTGTTGTTTTGCTGTTGTAATTTTAGAGTTTTTTAATACTGGTAACCAGATTTTGTTCATTTTCATGGTTTCCTCCTTTCTGTTGAAATTGTCCACATGCTTGTGGATTTCAATGGCTTCTCTGTGTAGTCTGACATGGTGGTTGTGAGAGTGGTCCAGCATTTCTGTGTTCTCAAATAAAATGCTGTGTCCAGGTTGGTTCATCAGGTGCTCTGCTATGGCTGACTTCTCTGGTTGAAGTAGTCTGCAGTGCCTTTCATGTTCCTTGATTCGTGTCTGGGCGCTGCGTTTGGTGGTCCCTATGTAGACTTGTCCACAGCTGCATGGTACGGTAGACTCCTGCAGAGGTGAGAGGATCCCTCTTGTCCTTTGCTGAACGTAGCATTTGTTGGATTTTCTTGGTGGGTGTGAGATTGTTTGTATGTTGTGTTTCCTCATCAGCTTCCCTATGCGGTCAGTGGTTCCCTTGATGTAAGGCAAGAACACTTTTCCTCTGAGTGGATCTTCATCTTTACTCTCGTGGTTTGTTCTGGGTCTTGCAGCTCTTCTGATGTCTGAGGTGGAGTCTCCATTGGCCTGGAGAGCCCAGTTGAGGTGGTTCAGTTCATCGTCTGAAGTGCACTCCTGGAGCCTGCAGTCTGGAAGCATGATTCTCTAGATCAGTGTTTCTCAAACTGTGCTCTTCCAGGTTTTTTGGACTTCAGCTTCCAGAAATCCCAGCCAGCTTACCAGCTGTTCGGAATTGTGGGAGCTGAAGTTCAAAACTTTTGCAGGAGCACAGTTTGAGAAACTCTGCTCTAGATGGATACATAGATGTAGAAGAAAATATACCGTGTGTGTGGGGATGGGGATCACTCACTGCAATACTACCCTAGGCGGGCAACTTCTACTAATAGCAGGAACAGGCTAAGAGTGGCATGTGGCTCCAGAATCATTTTGAGCTTGAGAAGGGTTGATTATTTTTTCTCTAAACATCCTCTAGGCAGGCCCATAGCCAGGATTTCGTTTCGGGGGGGGGGGGGGGGGGGGGCTGAGTTTGTTTGGGGGGGGGTGAGTCTGAGTGAAAGAGGGTCTACCCTAGCAAACCTTTTGTATCGTTACCCCAATACCCCCATGCATATGGGATATATTGAGTATAGTGATCAGATCATGATATGAATAAACATAACAGTTTAAATAATGCACCAGTAAGGCCTTTTCGCGAACCACCATGAGAATTTGGGGGGGGGGGGCTGAAGCCCCCCCCCCCCCCCCCGGCTACATGCCTGCCTCTAGGACAGGGGTCTTCAAACCTTAACAGTCAGTCCCTCAAACGGGCTATAGTTTGAAAAAAACATGAATGAATTCCTATGCAAAGTGCACATATATTATGCGTAGTGCAAAAAAAAAAAAAAACCATGAAAGAACAATGCAGTATTTAAAATGGAGAACAATTTTAACCAACATAAACTTATCGGTATTTCAACAGGAAGAGTGGGCATGCTTTTGGCTGGTGAGGTAGTCAAGTTAATTAGGATTGGTGTTGCTGTGTTCCTTTGAGTCATTTCAGTTTTAGAGCTGCCCTAAGTCTAAAGTTTAGGGCAGGGCCAGGGAAATGACCTTGGAGGGCTGCATCCAACCCATGGGCCTTAGTTGGGGGGGGGGGGGGGCGGCGGTCTGCTCTAGGGAATATGAAGGTCATTCTCACTATTCAAAGTGCTGGTGTTGACCTATAAAGCCCTAAACGACTCCGGCCCTGTTTATCTCTCCGAACGTATTCTCCCCTACGAACCATCAAGATTATTAAGATCATCTGGAGAGGCCCTGCTCTCGGTCCCACCGGCCTCGCAAGCGCGCTGGTGGGGACGAGGGACAGGGCCTTCTCGGTGGTGGCCCCGCGACTCTGGAACTCTCTCCCTCTGGAGGCCAGAACCGCCCCATCCATCCTAACATTTAGGAAACGGGTGAAGACGTGGCTGTGGAGTCAGGCCTTCGACGAATGAGATAACACCATAGGACCCTGGATGGAAGTTGATGTAGACCCATCTTAATAGGACGACTGACCACTGTAGTGTTTACATATAGTGTTTTTAAAGTTGTTTTTGTAATCTGTGATATATGATATTTTAATGAGTGTTTGTTTTTATGGCTGGAAACCGGGCTGAGTCCCTCAATGAGGTTGAGAAGCTCGGTATAGAAAACTGTGAAATAAATAAATATAAATATTTTTATGGCTCCCCTGTAGGCCAGGAGAGGACATTGTAAGAATAGAAAGTGATGAAGAAATGACACCCCAATAATATTATGTTGTGGAAATCTCGTCTGGAAAGGGGGCTAAAAATATGGTGAAAGTGACTTCATAATCCCTAGAGGGCATTTGGTGGCATGCATAGATAGTAGGCTTGGTTGATAAAAAAAATGGTTCGGAACTCGTTTTGGATGTAGGGGGTGCTGGTGGTTCGAACCAGATTTGAATTCTGATTTTTTTCTTTAAATTTTTTGGAACTTTACGAAATTTCTGAATCGGCAATATGCAATAAGCAAGACTTGAAAATATGGGATTTGTAGTATCTTTTTAGGCAACACACAGCAAACAAAGGAAATAACAAACAGCCAGCCCTGAGAGCTTTTGGGGTCTTGTAAGCTGATTTCACGTTAGGTAAGGAGAAACTTGAAAGTATACGTTTTCTAGTATCTTCTTAGGCAACTCACAGCAAACAAAGAAAGTAACAAACAGCCCTGCCCTTTTTGCCTTGGAAGCTGATTTCACAACTTTAGGAAGGAGAGTTTGTGTTGAAAGAGTGGCTTGAATTGATGGAAGATCTAGTTCTTTTGAGGCAATGTGCAACACAAACTAAAAAACGCTGAGGCTAGTTAGACCTGCTATTTATTTGTCGTGTCAGGAGCGACTTGAGAAACTTCAAGTCGCTTCTGGTGTGAGAGAATTGGCCATCTGCAAGGACATTGCCCAGGGGACGCCCGGATGATTTGATGTTTTTATCATCCTGTGGGAGGCTTCTCTCATGTCCCCGCATGAGGAGCTGGAGCTGACACGCTCTCCCCGGATTCGAACCTGCAACTTGTCGGTCTTCAGACCTGCTACAACGTTGGCTTTTAATACTTTTTCCACCCACACTACTCACCCACACACTATCCTTGCAGTGCCCACCCATCCCAAACCTCAACAGCAGCAACAACACACAAGCACCAAGGCAGGCTGCCCAGCCAGGCAGGCAGGCAGCCCTTCTCTCAGCCCTTCTTTGCTTGTTTGCTTGCCCCCGTGCTCTTCTTCCAACCTCCCTTCAACGCAACCTCCCTTCAACACAACCTCCCTTCCCTTTGTCTTTGTCTTTCCCTTTCCCTTCTCTCTTCCCTTCCTGGCTCCGAATGAGCCTCTGAACCATGTGCTCCCCCAAAACTTTTCCCCTGAATGGCTGGGAGACAAGGAGCCTCCCAGCATGCAAGCTGCTTGCCTCCCAGCGGGCTAGTAGAGGGCTGAAAATACACTGAATCATTTCCGACTCACTTCCTGAGTCGTAACAAAAATGGTGGAAAAAGCTTCGGAAAGGCAAAGGGACTTCCAGTTTTTAAAAATGCTTCGAAATTCTTCAAAAAGGTGATTTTAATGAAATTATTACGAGCAATGAGTTATCCAGCACGGCTCTATCCATGCCTGATAGATAGATAGATAGATAGATAGATAGATAGATAGATAGATAGATAGATAGATAGATTCCATAGGAGAGATGTAACCATGGACATGATCCTCCAATGTCTTCCAAGTCCCTCTGAGCATTGGTGGAAATTTTTCACATTGCTTCCTGCTTTTGCTTGTTTTGCCTCCAGGTGCAGCTGTTGGAGTTCCACTCACTGAAGAAGAAGCACATGTCTGCATGGTGCATGACTTGCAGCCCACACTGACACCTCTGGCAGCTGCCTATGCAAGGGCAAGAGGTGAGCAAGTTTTCTAAACTAGATTGCCTTTCATCCCTTAGGTGTAATTAACTTCCATAGAGCCCCTGTACATATAATGACTGCAATCAGTAGCAGTGGTATCAAGAACAAACATGAAATTTCCTCACATTTTTTTTCCTGAGGCAGCCTAGTGATTTCTTACTCTTTTATAAATACTAGTCACCCTGGAATAATGGAATTGATCATATTAAGCAATTTCTTCAAATGTATTAAGCATGTCAAGTAAAAATAGAGGAGAGGCATACTGTTAGGTCAAGCAGTGCTACTCAGAGGAATGGTCCATGGACTGATGCCACTTTCCAAATTACTGTCTGTTGGTACCTGGAGAGTTTCTGGGAATGAAAGAAATAATTGTACCCAGTGGGCATAAACAGATCTCTGTTTTCCATACAGCAGAACCTGACTCCCTGCACAAAATCTAAGACTCCAAAAGTGCACTTCTTCCTCTTCCCTTGAGAAAGAAGCCCCAAAGTGACCAAAATCATGCTTTCCCATAGCATATCTGACACTCTGCATAGGTACACTATCTCTCTTCTTCCCGTGGAGCAGAGCATAGCGGGTGAACAGTGCCTCTGTCTATCACACTTTGAGCATTATTAGACTGAGTCTTTTATAGGAATATTCTGCTGATGTAGTCCCAAAGTTGTAAATTAATGATAGATGTCTTCCATCCTGGCCAGATGTTGATTCTTCTTGATTTGTGTTGACAAACACAAGGCTTGTGTTGACTTCCTTCTTAACATAAGGAATGTTGCAAACATTTCCTTAACTTTTATTTATTTATTTATTTATTTGACTTGTAAACCGCTACTCCCAATTTGGCTCGGAGTGGTTTACAGCAGTAGATTAAAACAATACAATTAACTTTAAAATACAATAAAAACAAAAACAGACATAGTCCTGAGTTATTCACCCATCGAAAGCTTGTCGGAAGAGAAAGGTTTTACAGGCTTTCCGAAAAGCAAGTAGGTCTCAGATAGTTTGGGTTTCAACTGGCAAGGCATTCCATAAATAAGGGGCTACAATCGAGAAGGCCCTCTGCCTAGTAGAGGACAGATGATCAGTCCGGATGTTGGGAACTTCAAGCAAATTTTGGTCTTCGGACCGAAGTAATCTCTGGGGTTGGAAGGGGGATAAGCGGGCCCTCAGGTACGCCGGCCCCAGACCATATAAGGCCTTAAAGGTTAATACCAGCACCTTGAAAGTAATCCGGTACTCAATCGGTAGCCAGTGCAGCTGTTGTAGAATTGGGGTGATACGACACCTCGCTGGCACTCCGGTGAGAAGATGAGTCGCCGCATTTTGCACCAGCTTCAGTTTCCGGATCACTGACAAAGGAAGGCCAATGTAGAGGGCGTTACAGTATTCAAGCCTCGAGATGACCGTCGCCTGGATCACCATAGCCAGGTCATTCCTAGATAGGAAGGGAGCCAGTCGCCTAGCCTGAGGTAGATGGAAAAACGCAGATCTGCTCACAGCAGAGACCTGGGCTTCCATTGTGAGCAGAGGGTCCAATAAGACACCAAGGCTCTTTACAGAAGGTGACGGACGTAGTGTCTCGCCATCCAGAAAGAACCATTGTCACAGTCCTTATCAGAGTTTACTTTACAGCCAAAATATTAGCAACTTTTAATTACAGTCCAGCAAGCAGGTAGTTAGTCATTGCAAGCCTTAATATTATACTGGTGTCTCCAAAATTATTAGCTCCATCCATACATTCTTCTTCCATTCTTCCATTCATTCCCACACATCATATTAAATTCACATTTATCAAAACTTCACATTGAATTTCTTATTGCAGTAATACAGTATAACTAAGTGCAGTATAATCAACTCAACTTCAAAGTGTGCAACTTTTAAAAAAATGTTGGATTCACACAAGTCTGTGAAGTCATACCTCCTGCTTGAGGGCAATTGCCTGCTGCTTCAAAATGCAGCTTAACGCAGCAGCTCAAAAGAGAGATATGTTGATTATTCATTCACCATACTGCAGAAAACAGCCCTAGGGAATCCATCAAGTTGACCAAGCGGCTGCCTGGAATACCTCTCAGGGCAACCTCTGCACCGTATAGTCGAAGGCTTTCATGGCCGGAATCACTGGGTTGTTGTAGGTTTTTTCGGGCTATATGGCCATGTTCTAGAGGTATTCTCTCCTGACGTTTTGCCTGCATCTATGGCAAGCATCCTCAGAGAACCCTCACTATCTCTGAGGATGCTTGCCATAGATGCAGGCGAAACGTCAGGAGAGAATACCTCTAGAACATGGCCATATAGCCCGAAAAAACCTACAACAACCCAACCTCTGCACCCTTTCATTTGTAGCTGCAGCTGGACCTTCAGTAAAATTCACATCAGTCCAAGATGTAAACTACACTAAACTGTCAAACTAAGCAATTGAATGAACATGTCTCGGGTTGGACACAAAGAAGCTATCTCAATGTGGGAGCTTCGCAAGAGAAGTAACCTGGTGCCAAATATTACTTCTTTCCAGGCGCTGATAGAATGTCATCTTTTGGCGACTTCATTGCTCTCTCAGATATCTGTGATGTCCCCACAGCAAAGATCATTTCCAGAGAGGTCAGTGTCTGTGGCGTTCTTTACTGAAGTTGGTGTTATCTTTGTGTAACTAGAGCAGAGGTTCGCAAACTTTTCCAGCTGTGGAGGCTTTTTTGAAGCAAAAGTCTCATGTGGATCCTCAAGAAATGTATCTATATTATATATTATATATAATGTATATTTATCAGGCATGGGCAAACTTCTTGACTGTAACAGTTCGTGAAGATGCCACCAATTTGTGACGGGGCCATTAATTTGTGAAGAGTTTGTAAAGGAGCCACCACTTTGTAAGGGTTATTAATTTGATAGTGTAGCTAACAGCTAGTGATATTGACTTGGTCTTTCTTTAATGTGTAGCGTGACTTAAATTGGAAAGGAATTGTAACAGAGACCGAGCTTTAGGAAAAAAACAGTAACAAGTTTATTGAAATGTAGAAAGAGCGTGATAGTTTCAATGTAACTTGACTCTTAGAGGCACATATCTTCATAGGTTACATTTATAACATTCTTAAACAACTCTGGAAAGGACTCTTCCTTCCACTAAACAGGTTTCAAACTTATTTTTCTTCAAACTGTGTTTCTTTCCTTAATAGATTACTTCAGTTACAAGCTTATTCTTTCTTTGTGATGTTTCTGTTGCAATAGAGATTCTCACTGGGTTTCTCTCACCCTTTCTCTCATACACTAACTATTAATATAAATAAGTCAACTCGACTTATTTAAACTACTCAGGCTAAAAGCCAAAACCTTCCTGATTCTCAAGCAGGGGCGGCTCGTCCATTACGCGAAGTAAGCAGTCGCAGAACACTTTTTTTGCCAGGGGCGCAGAGGCGCCTCTGTAAATGCCCCTCGACTGCCACTTGAGGAGCGCCCCCTCAGCTCACAACAGCCCTAGCAGTCCGGGGGGAGCCTCGGCTTTCTTGCCTCGCTGCCGGGCGATCCTCTTCCCAAAGGGGCCGGGCCCTTGAGCCTCGCCTAGCCCCTCTCGTTCCTGCTCCACCCGGCCACCGGGTGCACGAGCAGAGCCGGCGCTCAATCGTTCTCCGCGTTCGATCCCTTCCCCATGACCGGCTCCCTTTCCCGATCCCCCGGCGCTCCACCTGCCTCCTCTCCTCTCCCCAATCCGCGGGTGGGCCAAGGGGCGGAGCCGCCACGCCTGGCATTCGGGTCCCGAGGCGTGTCTGAAGACCCCAGCGTGCGCACCAAAAGTCGCCTCTTCTCCTGACTTTCTCTTTGGCCATTGGGACCAAAGAGAGAGGGAGAGAGAGAGAGAGCCCCTCCGGCTGGAGGTATCTCCCACCTCCGCTCCCTCCTTTGTTTTTGCGCCTACCTTCAGGAAAGGTGGGCATCTCCACCTCTCTCTCTCTCTCTCTCTCTCTCTCTTTGTTCCCAATGGCTGAGGAGAAAGTCAGGAGAAGAGGTGACTTTTGGTGCACACGCCGGGGTCTTCAGGCACGCTCCGGACCCAAAGCGGGCCAGGCAAGGGAGCAAGTGCGGCAAGTGTAGTTACTGGGATGTATAGTTCACCTACAATCAAAGAGCATTCTGAACTCCACCAATGATGGAATTGAACCAAATATGGCACACAGAACTCCCACGATGAACAAAAAATATATATCAGTGATTGGTTTGGGGGGGGGGGCAAAATACTGTTTGCTTACCATTGAAAATTACCTAGGGCCGCCTCTGCTTATGTGCAAGAATCAGCCTTTCCTACAGTTCACAGACTGTAAACTAACTGACTGGTTCTCAACACACACTAGAACCAACCTCTCCTTTAGTTCGCCGACTACAGACTAACTTACTGGTTCTCACTACTAGAGATCCAGCCACTCCTGCAGCTCACAGACTGCAGACTACCCAGGCCCATAGCCAGGATTTTGTTTCGGGGGGAGCTGAGCTTGATTCGGGGGAGGGGGGTGAGTCTGAGTGAAAGAGGGTCTACCCTAGCAAACCTTTTGTATCGTTACCCCAATACCCCCATGCATATGGGATATATTGAGCATGGTGATCAGATCATGATATGAATAAACATAACAGTTTAAATAATGTACCAGTAAGGTCTTCTCGCGGACCACCATGAGAATTTCGGGGGGGGGGCTGAAGCCCCCCAAGCCCCCCCCCCCCCCCCGGCTACATTTCTGGTTGTTAACACACAACAGAACCAGCCTCCCTGCAGTTCGCTGACTGCAGACTAACTGCTTTAAAATGGCTGCCCTGCCAAGTGGCAGTAGGCTCCGCCCCTGTTTCCATTGAGCTGGCTACCATCCCCCCTAGTTATGCAACTTTAGTTACTTACCCTTTAAAACATCTATCTATAATTATACGTAACTGCAAGTTAAAAATTTACACTTCATCACATTGACCAATATAAATTTAACAATATTTCAACCAGACCCCAGGAGACATCCAGTCCAACCCACTTCTGACATGCAGGAAAATCACAATCAAAGCACCCTGAGTGGTGGGAGGGAAATAGGGTTTTGGAAGTAAGCAAGGCAAAAGGGAAATGATCTGGTTGGCAAGGAAGGCAAGGAAAATGTTTTTGGGGATGAGGGAGGCAGGTTGAAAAGGCTTTTGGTGGTAAGGGAGATAGTCAGAAGAGCAAGAAAGAGGACAGAAAGCTTGGAGGAGGAGGAAAGAGGAGGAGGAGGAGGGAAGGAAGTACAGAGCCTCTCAGTATGCTTTGTGGAGCCCCAAGGGTTCCATGGAGCACACTTTGAGAACCATTGGACTAGAGGGTTGGAATAAAGCAACAGATTTGTCAACAAATGTTATTTTGCATTGTGGTGCTTGAAGGTAGAATACAAGATACCAGTTTCTGGCAAGCACATTAGAAGGGCAACTGCAGAATGTGGGCTAGGCAAAACTACGGTGAGGTGGATCTGTGGGTTAAATGGACGCACCCAGAGGGTGCTCACCAATGCTTCCTCTTCATCTTGGAAAGAAGTGACAAGTGGAGTGCCGCAGGGCTCCGTCCTGGGCCCGGTCCTGTTCAACATCTTTATTAATGATTTAGATGAAGGGCTAGAAGGCAGGATCATCAAGTTTGCAGACGACACCAAATTGAAAGGGATAGCCAATACTCCAGAGGACAGGAGCAGGATTCAAAACAATCTTGACAGATTAGAGAGATGGGCCAAAACTAACAAAATGAAGTTCAACAGTGACAAATGCAAGATACTCCACTTTGGCAGGAAAAACGAAATGCAAAGATACAGAATGGGGGACAATGCCTGGCTCGAGAGCAGTACGTGTGAAAAAGATCTTGGAGTCCTCGTGGACAAGTTAAACATAAGCCAAGAAAGTGATGTGGCGGCAAAAAAAGCCAATGAGATTTTGGCATGCATCAATAGGAGCATAGTGTCTAAATCTAGGGAAGTAATGCTACCCCTCTATTCCTCTTTGGGTAGACCATACCTGGAATATTGTGTCCAATTCTTGGCACCACAATTCAAGAGAGATATTGACAAGCTGGAATGTGTCCAGAGGAGGGCGACTAAAATGATCAAGGGTCTGGAGAACAAGCCCTATGAGGAGCGGCTTAAGGAGCTGGGCATGTTTAGCCTGAAGAAGAGAAGGCTGACAGGAGATATGATAGCCATATATAAATATGTGAGAGGAAGCCACAGGGAGGAGGGAGCAAGCTTGTTTTCTGCTTCCCTGGAGACTAGGACGCGGAACAATGGCTTCAAACTACAGGAGAGGAGATTCCATCTGAACACGAGGAAGAACTTCCTGACTGTGAGAGCCGTTCAGCAGTGGAACTCTCTGCCCCGGAGTGTGGTGGAGGCTCCTTCTTTGGAAGCTTTTAAACAGAGGCTGGATGGCCATCTGTCAGGGGTGATTTGAATGCAACATTCCTGCTTCTTGGCAGGGGGTTGGACTGGATGGCCCATGAGGTCTCTTCCAACTCTTTGATTCTATGATTCTATGAATGACAGAGAAGGGGTCGAAGTCCATGGAAAGGTGAAGTGCAAGCTTGGGAAAGGAAGAAGCAAGGTGAAGATGGGGTCCTTCCAGGGTAGAGGTTCTACAAGCTGGAGGCAGCCACTCTTCTTAATCGTAGGGCATGCCTTGCATGTGTCACAGAGAGTGAAAGAATGGAATCTGTGACTTAGTTTGTGACTTATTTCATAAGGATGCTGTTTGTTATTTTTGGTCAATGTATTGTTTGTTGTAACTACAGGTATCTGATGGGGTTGTGGCTCCAGGATATGATGAAGAAGCTCTCAAAATCTTATCCAAAAAGAAAAATGGGAGCTACTGTGTTCTCCAGGTGAGTGTTTGGAATGCTCCAAGGCATTTTGAGGAAGATGGGACTTGAAGATGTCTTATCTCTTTTCTGCCTCACTTGCCGTAAGCTCTTTATTTCCCAATGTACAACTTTTGCCATCAAGCTATGTTTAGAAAGTGATAAGCGAAAGTAAATAAAGATATGTATCTTTTCAAGTTACATGTAAAGCTTTAAAAATGTAGCTTCCAAGTTAATGGGATAATTTCAAATTATTCTAGATTGACTGAGCTCAGGTTGTAGCCTGTTTGCCATTTACCTTGCAAAGTTGTCTTCATCATTATGATGATGGAACAAAATAATCTTTAATGTGCCCTAATGAAAGTTTAAACATGGAGCAATATGTTGTCATGGTTACATGGTTACTAGAAAAACATGACAACCTGGTTGTGATTCAGAGAGCCTTGCAAACAACACTGACATTCACACCTGAATTTCCACTTCAGTAGCTGCAGCCAGAGAATGCCAGATCTGTTTTTTGGAGGATTGCTTAGGATTTTAATGTCCATCTGTTACTTGGTCTTTGGTGGGCCAAAAAGAATAAAACTGGCTGTCTATAAATTGCTAAGCAAAAATAACACTATCTACCAAAATTTGGAAAAAAAATTGTTCCTGATTTGAAAGTTTCTGTTTAATTGTGCAGTATTTCATTTGAAAGTAGTTTTAATTATTGCATTGTTTTAAGTGTATTTTGCACACAAATAAGAAACGGTTCTGGCCCGACCTACCTGTCTGAACGCGTCTCCTCCTATGAACCAGTTAGGACATTAAAATCGTCTGGGGAGGCCCTGCTCTCTATCCCGCCGGCTTCACAAGCACGCCTGGCGGGGACGAGAGACAGGGCCTTCTCAGTGGTGGTCCCTCGGCTGTGGAACGCCCTTCCTGCAGATATTAGATCGACCCCCTCCCTGCTGGCATTCCGGAGGAAAGTAAAGACCTGGCTGTTTGAACAGGCATTCGACTAAGCAGTGTGATTGATTGACTGACTATCGGAACACGGAATATCGGATAACGAGTTTGGATTCTGATTTCATTGATGAGACCTGATGGATTTGTTATATTGATGTAGTGATGTATTGATATTGATGTTTAATGATTTGTGATGCTATTGCTTTTAAATGCTTAATGATTTTGTATTGTGTATACCTAAATTGTTGTAAACCGCTCTGAGTCGCCTAAGGGCTGAGAAGAGCGGTATACAAATAAAGTAAATAAATAAATAAATAAATAATGTGCGATGTGCATAGGAATTCATTCATATATTTTTTTCAAATTATAATCCGGCCCTCAAACAGTTTGACGGACTATGATCTGGCCCTCTTTTTAAAAAGTTTGAGGACTCCTGGTCTAAAGTATGTATTTTGAGCAATGTATTCTTTTGCAGGCGCTTTTTCACCTATAGACATAGTTAGACATGTGAATGATTTGTAACCGTGCTACCCAAAATACTTCCGAGCACAGAAAGTTTGGCATGGCATTTTAGTGATCTTAAATTATGGACTAGATTTTTTTCTGGGAATTTCCCCCAAAATGGGAAAGAGCTGCATTAAACTGTCCTGTTGCTGAAACTATTTCCTTTTTTTTAGATGGACCCAGCGTATGAGCCAGACGAAGCTGAAATCCGTACTCTCTTTGGATTGCACCTAATGCAGAAGAGGAATGACGGCGTAATTGACCAGTCACTGTTCAAGAACATTGTGACAAAAGATAAAAAGGTGAGTACAGGAAAGTGATTATTTGAGAAAGGAGTGGTAATGTCAGGAAAAGAAAAGTTAAAAGCATTAGAGGTACTAAGGGTGCAGTCTGGAAATATGAAAAGGGGTCTGGTTCATTGGCAGATCCAGTTCTGTGGCTGACATTTTTGATCAAAAATCTCTGCCAGCAAGGCAGATCTTTGCTGCTTGGGAGCCAGTCTTTGGTGATACCGTTAGCTATGGTGACACATAGGTAGCTCACTTGGAAATCTTCCACATAGATACAGCACTACAAGTCCGGTTTGCTTGCCATGTACTGGGATTTGTAGTTTGGTCAGAGGCACTAGAGGAGCTCTCTGGCTGAGATTTGTTAGTGTTTCTCCCATAACAAATCTCAGGTTTCATAGGATGCTACTGGAGCCCCTGGTGGCGCAGTGGGTTAAACCCCTGTGCCGGCAGGACTGAAGACCAACAGGTCACAGGTTCAAATCCGGGGAGAGGCGGATGAGCTCCCTCTATAAGCTCCAGCTCCTCATGCAGGGACATGAGAGAAGCCTCCCACAACGATGATAAAACATCAAATCATCCGGGTCCCCTGGGCAATGTCTTTGCAGACGGCCAATTCTCTCATACCAGAAGCGACTTGCTGTTTCTCAGGTCGCTCCTGACACGACAAAAAAAAATAATTAAAAAAAATAGGATGCTACTATGGCAATTGTAGTGGAATCACTTTGCTAGATGATTCTGGGAGTTGTTGTTTGAAAAAGGGGTTTCCCCAAGCTCTCCTTGAATCATCAGATGGTGTGGTGTATTGAGCACTGTACTGTCTACTCATGGGCTAAACCTTTGCAGGGTTTCAGATAAGACGTTTTCCAGTTTCACCTAGCGATGTCAGGAACTGAGTGGATCACCTAGATACAAAGCATGTGTTTTCTCCCAGCATTCAAACCAAAAGTCAACAGATACTCATCTTATTACCTACCTACAGTGATTCATTGCTTTGCCATAGCCTGGTATCTACCTGCTCATAGTGCCAACATTACACACCTCATTTGGGTGAGGCAAGGTCTCAAATTTGTTGCGCAGAAGCGGATTTTAGCCAAGTCCAATGCAATAGACACACAGGCAAGAGGAAAAAGGAACAGAAAAACTTTACTCTTATCAACAGAGGCTATAAACTTGCAGTGTTGTATACAAAATCAAACTGTGCAATAAACTTACATATTCCTTGTAAGTAACACAGAATAAGGCTTCTTCATCTTCATTCAAATGAGAGCAAAACATAAACCTTGAGTAAATAGTATTCCACCATAGCATCTTCTTCAGAGCAGTATATTGCTTCTCCTTCTCCACCAAACTGTATTCGAAAATTCATCCAGTTATACCCCACCAGGTATGGCCCAAACATGCTGGCTGACCTACATTACCAGCTGCATATAATAATTAACATCATAAGGTTTTTCTTTAACACACACACTTGATCCTGCTACGACTTACTGTAACAAAATTCATATACCCATATACATGTCCCTGCCAAAAGTGAGATAGACATCTGAACTTCAAACACTAGCCTCAATACTAAAACCAAAATGGTCAGAGTTGTATAGTTCCCCAAACTGGATACCACTCAGAACACAAAAACTTACTTCTCTCTCATAAACCATGTACAGCCTTGTGAATTTCACTAGAAGTCTAGATGCTCAATTTCACTAATGTAGTACTGTTTCGGGTCAGCAGATGGCCCCTTTGAACACATTTTCTCCTGGGACATTTACTTTTAGGGAGAAAAAAATGGGGGTTAAAACTAAGTTGTTGTTGTTCTTGCTGCTGTTATGTATAACCCACTTTATCTCTCCCGAAGGGGTCTCAAAGTGGCATAACATGAAAGCATTAGTACACAGCTTAAAATATACAAATATACAAACATTAAAACAGAATTAAATATAAACAGTATTAAAAATTCTCATGCCTGGGAATTTTTACTGTTTCCTCTTCCTTTGCCAGTGAGCCATTTTCTGTCCATATTTATGCTGTATGTAGCCCTCATGAACTCATGGAATGGGTGCAAGGCATTATGACGATACAGTGACACCTGCAGTAAAGGTTTACATCAGAGGTTAAAAGTCATTTTCCAGACCTTCATTTTTGTGTCTTGAATAATGTAACAGCTGGGAAAGGGGGTAGCTAAATTTTGCGTGACTATACAGCCAATTTCCATGGGTCATGAATTTATTTTAACTTAAAGAGCTGCTTACCAGATAATGTTTCCCTTGTTGTTTCAGCTGCCTGAGCCAGCAATCCGAGACCTGATTGTTGCTAGCATCGCTGTGAAATATACCCAGTCTAATTCCGTTTGTTATGCCAAGAATGGACAGGTAAATGTGCAGGGATTTTTAGGGGAGGCTTGCCTGTTGTGCTTTTTGGATAGGCTGTGGTGCATCTATCTATATATATAAAAATGCTCTGTGCATAATTAGTACCTTAAAAACAAAAGAACCAATGAACAAAATCACACCAAATTTGGTAACAAAACGTCTCACAACACAAGGAGTGACCATGACTCAAAGAAAAATATGATTTGCCATTTGGGAGTTGTAGTTGCTGGGATTTATAGTTCACCTACAATCAAAGAGCATTCTAAACTCCATCAGCGATGGAATTGAACCAAACTTGGCACACAGAAAATACTGGAAGGGTTTGGTGGGCAGTGTCCTTTGGTTTTGGAGTTGTAGTTCAACTACATCCAGAGATCACTGTGGACTCAAACAATGATGGATCTGGACCAAACTCTACACAAATACTCCATATGCCCAAATGTGAACACTGGTGGAGTTTGGGAAAAAGAGAATCTTTACATTTGAGAGTTGTAGTTATTGGGATTTATAGTTCACCTACAATCACAGCATTCTGAATCCACCAACGATAGAATTGGGCCAAACCTCCCACACAGAACCCCCATGTGGGCCACAGCAACGCGTGGCAGGGGATGGCTAGTGTGTTTATAAAAATTATATTTCAAAATTAGACCAAGGCAAGCTTTTAGTGCTCATGCAGCCTTATCCCATGTATGTTTATTTGGAGAGAAATTGCACATTAGTACAGTGGTACTTACTCACCAGTTAATGTGCATAGAATGGAAACCTTCATAGTTCAGGCTTCCTTTTTCTAAAAAAAATGATCTTCCTAGTTTTTGATATAAAATACATTTTGGAACCTTTAACATATATATATTTATGGTCATTCAGTCTATCCGGGGATCTGAGGAGAGTGCGGATGAGCTCCCTCTGTCAGCTCCAGCTCCCCATGTGGGGACATGAGAGAAGCTTCCCAGAAGGATGGTAAAACATCAAAATATCTGGGCGTCCCCTGGGCAACGTCCTTGCAGACGGCCAATTCTCTCCCACCAGAAGCAGTTTCTCAAGTCACTCCTGAAACGACAAAAAAAAAGTCTAACAGAACTCACATTCTTCCCACATTCAAGAAAGAGGGAGAGCTCCTTATTTTCCACTCCTGCCTTGACTTTTTTTTCCATGCAGCATCTGTCTGATCAGCCTCCAGGATCTTTGGCAGAGGTAGATGCAGTTGCTATTATAAAATGCTAATAAATGCAAGTACCGTCTGTGATGTTGTGAAAGTCTTCTTCCAGTTCAGTTCTAGTAATTGTGAACATTTAGTTTGCTATTGGGGCAAATAACACACATTTTACGGCTGTTTGCATGCTTATTCTCCTCTGCTGGTAAATTTTGCTTATTTTCCTTTGGATATTCGCTTTCTTCCTCACCGTTTTCACCCAAGCAGTTTTTAGAACTTGTTAACATAATATTTTTCTCTGAATCAACCCCCTCTTAATTCAGTGTATTCTCTCATTTGTTTTTGTGCTGAACTGGCGACATGGAGTTGGAAAAACAATCAAAGCAATAGTTCAGGATTCTTACCTTTCTCCTGTTTCTTCTTCAATAAATGATGGAGTTGTTTTTACAGTCATTTATGCACATGAGGGCAGCCTTCTGTTGCAGCAATGAAAGCATCTCAAGAGAGCCAGCTCAAATACACCGAGTTGTTTCGCCACTCTAAGTGGGTCCATCTTAATCTAAAATAACATCTCTCAGTTGGCTGCTTCAGGTAATCTAGTACTTGACTGGTATATAGTCGCCAATATAAATGTTTAGGAGCTTTAAGCATGGTGAATATTCTAGGTTCAGAGCTGCAGCCAGAATAAGCAAAGAGAACATTGGGTTGTTGTAGGTTTTTTCGGGCTGTATGGCCATGGTCTAGAGGCATTCTCTCCTGACGTTTCGCCTGCATCTATGGCAAGCATCCTCAGAGGTAGTGAGGTCTGTTGGAACTAGGAAAAGGGGTTTATATATCTGTGGAATGACCAGGGTGAGACAAAGGAATCTTGTCTGCTGGAGCTAGGTGTGAATGTTTCAACTGAGGTAATCAAACAGAAGACATCACAGCTCTGTTTCACCATTGCCTCACCACCAGCTACTTTCAGTGGGACAATGAGTTCTACGAACAGAAAGATGGAGTAGCTATGGGGAGCCCCCTCAGCCCGGTCATAGCGCATTTCTACATGGAACACTTTGATAAACAAGCCCTGGAGACATCAACAAAAAAGCCCGTGATATGGTTCAGATATGTGGATGACACCTTCACCATTTGGAGCCATGGAGAAGAAGAACTCAACAGGTTCCTGGACCATCTTAACAGCATCCACCCAAACATCCAGTTCACCATGGAAAAAGAAAATGAAGGAAGACTGCCTTTTCTAGATGTCCTAGTCATCCGCAAACCAGATCAACTATTGGGTCACACCGTTTACAGAAAACCCACACACACAGATAGATATCTACATAAAAACTCCAACCATCACCCAAGTCAAAAAAGCAGCACCATTAAAGCCTTGGCAGATCGTGCAAAAAGAATCTGCGAACCCCACCTCCTCCAAGATGAACTGAACCACCTCAACTGGGCTCTACAGGCTAATGGAGACTCCACCTCAGACATCAGAAGAGCTGCAAGACCGAGAACAAGCCACGAGAGTCAAGATGAAGATCCACCCAGAGGAAAAGTGTTCCTGCCATACATCAAGGGAACCACTGACCGCATAGGGTAGCTGATGAGAAACACAACATACAAACTATCTACAGACCCACCAAGAAAATCCAACAAATGCTACATTCAGCAAAGGACAAGAGGGATCCTCTCACTCTGCAGGAGTCTACCGTATACCATGCAGCTGTGGACAAGTCTACATAGGGACCACCAAACGCAGCATTGCCCAAACACGAATCAAGGAACATGTAAGGCACTGCAGACTACTCCAACCAGAGAAGTCAGCCATAGCAGAGCACACGATGAACCAACCTGGACACAGCATATTATTGGAGAACACAGAAATGCTGGATCACTCTCACAACCACCATGTCAGACTACACAGAGAAGCCACTGAAATCCACAAGCATGTGGACAATTTCAACAGAAAGGAGGAAACCATGAAAATGAACAAAACCTGGCTACCAGTATTAAAAACCTCTAAAATTGCAACAGCACAACAACAGAGAGGAAGCAGGCAGGGACATCTAATTACCTCTCAACAAAAGTTTGCTCCAGGCACATTCAGCCCATTGTATGCTAATCAAGGTGATAAGTTCATTCATGGAACAAATTAAACTCAAGGTATCACTGCAGCTGCCACCTGTGGTGTGGTGTATATTTCTTAGGAGTGTATTTCTCTGAGTTCATAGCAAAAATTTGCCACTTTCTGGAGAACAGTGCTGATGTTGTATATATAAGTAGAGAGCTATATCTGTTGGTCAGTTGGATTGGGCGAGGAGTGTCAGTCTTTTGTGTCATCAGCTTACATTGAGCCCTAGTGAAGAAGTGAGACAGAAAAGATGTTAGGCAAGGAGCCTATTTTTTAATTGAACAAGCAACATTTTGCATCTTTCCAGGATATGGGATGTTACCCAATCCATTCCATTTGAAACCCTGGAGGTATATTAAACAAGTGTAACATTACGCAGTGCCAATCGCTGACTTGTTAGCTGTAGGCTGATTCTTAGTTGGTTGGGAAAGAAAAAGCACAAATCCAGGTTTTTCATTCCCTTTCAGTATGGGAGGATCCTGTTTATTTCCCCTTGTGATTCTGGCAAGATCTAAAATCCTTGCAGGAGTGAGACTGCGAATGATTCATTTCTTTCACTCTTGCTTATGGCTTTAATGTCTGTCAGCCCTGTCTAAGTCGGAAAGGTTCAGGCAGTGGCCAAGCCTCATAAACCTAACAAGCAATTTGTCTTTTCCTGGCTGATGCCGCTTTCTTTAAAAATCTTAATTGGATGGAAGCAAGAAAAAATCCCCAAAGAGGAGGAGTTGTAAAGGGAGCACGAAAAACATCTCTCACTTCTCCCACTTCCTCTTGTCACTTCACCGAAGCCATTGTGCTGGGAGAGACAAAACTCTTTCAATCACCACTAGGAAGTCCTGGTGATCCTAGGGATTGTATCCTGAATCTGTGGATAAAAATTAGTCATTTCTGTAACTGCAAAGCATGGAAAAAATGCAAAGGAAAATAGCTATTTATTGTATAGCCAACAATGTGATGTGGCGGCAAAAAAAGCCAATGGGATTTTGGCCTGCGTCAATAGGAGCATAGTGTCTAGATCTAGGGAAGTAATGTTATCCCTCTATTTCACCTTGGTTAGAGCACAGCTGGAATATTGTGTCCAATTCTGGGCACCACAATTGAATATTGACAAGCTGGAATGTATCCAGAGGAAGGCAACTAAAATGATCAAGGGTCTGGAGAACAAACCTTATGAGGAGCAGCTTAAGGAGCTGGACATATTTAGCCTGAAGAAGAGAAGGCTGAGAGGAGATATGATAGCCATGTATAAATATGTGAGATGAAGCCACAGGGAGGAGGGAGCAAGCTTGTTTTCTACTTCCTTGGAGACTAGGACACGAAACAATGGCTTCAAACTACAAGAAAGGAGATTCCATTTGAACATGAGGAAGAACTTCCTGACTGTGAGAGCTGTTCAGCAGTGGAACTCTCTGCCCCGGAGTGTGGTGGAGGCTCCTTCTTTGGAAGCTTTTAAACAGAGGCTGGATGGCCATCTGTCAGGGGTGATTTAAATGCAATTCTCCTCCTTCTTGGCAGGGGGTTGGACTGGATGGCCCATGAGGTCTCTTCCAACTCTTTGATACTATTCTATGAACAATAGATCACATCCTCAGCTGCTGCAAGAAGATCATGCAGACAGACTACAAGCAGAGGCATAACACCGTTGCTCAGATGATTCATTGGAACTTGTGCCACAAATACAATCTGCCTGCGACAAGTAACTGGTGGGATCACAAGCCGGAAAAA